TGTACAAATGATCTATGATAATTCTGCGCGCACACTGCAAATCCAAGTGTGCAAAAAGTGAATACAATACATGTGTATGATTACTTTTTTGTGTAAAAATAACACTAAATATTACACATTTAAATGTTTAAATTTGTTTTTTTATATCGTACAGTGTGTGTTTAAATCCATTTTTTAAATCCAATCACACACATATATTGTAGTAACTTTTTACATACATAGATTTGCAATGCATATTTAATTATTATCCAAAAATATAACTTGTTTGACATGGAAATAGTCGTAGAACAGGTTCACGTAATTAATAATTCTCGAACGTGCCTATAAAGATATGTATCGCGATGTGTTTGTACGACAAAAGGACATTGGACAAGCCATCTTCTCTCTGTAGCCAGTTGACAATCCTGACTTTCGCATAGTTTCGATGGAGACAAGTCCAGTTCCACAAGGTACCTCGTCTCGGCAAGTTTCGAAACATAAGATACATGTCGTAGCTCATCGCGCGAAGTGCCAAAATCCTTTCGCCATCCAAGACAGCAACTGAATAGGAATACAAATTATTTCTCGTGTGAAGAGTGCGCAACTCTGATTTATAAACCCAGATAACATGGAATATTTTAATAATATTAAAAGCAACGTTGTAACATTGATGCAATGATGATGATTGGTAGATCTCGGAACGCGTAATTCTTTTTCCTCATGTAAATGTGATGATATCAATTGGCTCGAGAAAAGCGAGTCAGGTTTGTTCTCTGAATCTTTTCAATTAGTACGAGATTCTCTTCTCAGAATCTCTTCAATTAGTACAAGTAATAAATTCTCCTCCGTAGATTAGTCTTCGCCGTAGATATCGTGATCGTGTTATCTTCGAACGTTATTTTCATCCAACACATTATCATAACATAAAGAAAAAAATACATGTTTAGAATTCAATTCTCTCTCAATCGTAGATTAAATCAAACGCGAAAACGTCCTGCTGGAGAATATCCTCTGAAACAAATTCATCTAAATCGATTATCCCAAATGTACGGACTGGTGGAAGCGAATTCCTTATCGAGTTTACATCAACCCGAGTTCTGCAACAGCGCGATCGTGCGTTTTCTATACTCGTGCCTAAGTCATTTCCCACCGACAGAACGTAGATACTCCTTTTGCATTTAATTATTAATCTATGATTTACGCGGAATTACAAATATTTTATAGATACTCATTGAAATTATGAATATTAAATTATGAATATTTTTTTCACATATGTTCTATAGTATGTTGAAAATAAAAAGAACGTGCGATGGTAATATCTATAGCGAAGATTATATCTTAACACTAATTGAAGAGATTCAGAAAACGGGGCCAACCGACTTGCTTTTCTTAGATTTTGAGATAATCGATATCGTACTTACTTGGTGAAAAATCCTGCGTTTCCAAGATGATCTTCCAGAGTGTTTTTGAATTGGAATTGCGTGAACTCTTTGCACATTAGAAAGACTCTCTAAAACTTTAAAATGAATCCATCTCTAAGAAGTGAAATTTTATTTTTAAGACTTTTTTAAAGACTCATTTAAAAACTTAGTTAAAAGTTGAGTCACTCTTTTTTAAGACTGGCTAAATTTTCACTTTTAGAGAGTGAAAATCCACTTCAAAGAATTTAGAGATTATATATATATATATATATATATATACTCCTTTTTTACTCCTGGATGGCTCATACGTGAGTGTAGAAAACGCGCGACCGTGCTGTTACGGAGCTTGAATTGACGTGAACTTGGTAAGATATTTGCTTCAATATCGCTTACAGTAAACAGTCCTAATGTAACTATGAACTAAAAGACGTCCCTCATGATTTAGGACATCTCGAGTGAAGGCACAATTTTAGATCGATAAGTTTTGTACAATAAAGTAGAACGCTTGTCAGGTCGATCTCTCTTACAATACGATAAATTCTGCAAACGCTCAGTATATAAAGATGATCATTACTATGTTCGGAAACCCAAGTGCTCCTACGTATCATTTTATTTTTATTGTTCGCACCGAATGTTAAACAATAAAATGATACTGCTCGGCACTACTTGAATTCCAAATGTGCTTCAACAACAATGCGCTTTAAAAAATGGAGAGTTTAAGACACTTCACTCGTTGCGTGATTGGCAGTGTAGTATTTTTAAGTCTCTACTTGAAATTTAAGAAATAAATACAACCGAAAAGCCCTAGTAATCGTTCGTAGCGCTACACTTTTGCTAAGAAGAAATCTTCAACTTCATCGGAAAATTTGTTATAGCTATAAAAATCTTCAGTAAACCATAAGTAAATGAAATGAATATTGTACTGTTATTCACGAACGGTCCCAAGGGCCTTTCGTAGATTAATTTTCGTGGGGACATACAAATGAATAACAATACCATAATTATCAGTTCAACATCAAGTAGAGCTCGATAGAATTTTAATTCGTATTTCGAATTAAAATTGAATGTCATAATGAAATCAATTAATGTGCAGTAATGCCATTTCGTAGTCACTTACGTTACACTATTATGTGCAGAGTATAAACAACTACAACCTGCGTACCACTCGAATTATGGCACATATACAACATTCTCAAAAATTTCCCACTTATCCCCCTCTATATGCATTAGCGTGTAACGTCAGCGATTACAAAATAGTACTATTTTAAACGTGTAGGAGAATCGAGACAGAAATATTTGATTTATAACTATGATAACAAGATTGTATCGTATTAAAATAAACTTCAGTTGTACATTTAACAACTTTGTCCATGAACACCTGTTTATTACTTGCCACATTATGGTCTCTTCACGGTCATAATGTAACTCTTGTAATGCAGCGGAACATCTTAATTTACATGGCAATTCGCACACGAATATACATATGTACACACATGTAACGAATCTCACGCATATAATATACTCGCAGTTTCTTCAAGCGAATTTGTCGCCTAATCGTCTCTCGTGACATTTACAGACAAAAATTGCTACGTTATACTGTCTAAGAATCTATTGCGATTAACACAATTTAATTAGTATTAGAACTTACATAATAGTTAGCATTAACAAAATATAACAATAGTCTTTGGCTCGTACGCTCTTCTCTTGTTTCCAAACAAGAGAATGCGTATTTTCAGACATATTACTTTTATATTTACACTATGTAAGAGGTTTTTATCCACCTGTTATTTCAATCTAATTGTCGATGAGCTTAAAACGATGAGACCAGTAGTTTAGTGATCGCGAGAGCTCGATTTGTGCGAAAATGCATTATCCTGATAAATATTTCGTTCGCGTTTATTAAACATAAATGCGATTCGCGAGGGCAATAGAAAACATTCTCAATGCTTAAAAGTTTCTGAAACAATGAATTTCAAGAACGACGTGAACAGAAATAGAATAATCAAGATAATATGAAAACTGTAAAATGAGTATAGAATACGAAAATTATACGTAAAATAATGGTACATACAATCGAGTCTCATGGACATCATGTAAATGTCATCGTATTCGTTACTGCTGTAAAATTCTCTTCCCAAAAAATTAGAAATTATTACGTTTAATCAGATAAGTTCTTAACTATTTGATAACTGACGTTATTTCGAAATATTAAGGGAAAATTTTTTTTCTAGGTGTTGAAAGATGAGTTAACCGGGTAACGTTTTTAAGAATTTTTTTTACAGAAAACTTTCAAAAATTTTTTATATATAAAAGATATATATTTCACGAATATCTCTAAATTTTTTGCGTGCATTTTGGATTTCGTCTTCTCTCCATTATGGTTCAACCATAAACTTCTATAGAAGTGTTTGGATTCCTACCTGGGTGCTCCCAGGATGTCATCATGTCATTCTTGTTTAACATTCGGTAAACAAGAATGGAGTTGACATCTGGGTGGTATACTTTGGTGAAAATCCGAAGCCTAGGATGCGTTTCGTTTTGGACTTACAGCGCTTATAAGCATTTATTCTTGTTTAATATGTTGATAAATAACAAAGATGGACTACTATTACTATTTGAGAGCGTGGATATTGTTGGTGTGATTTATACTTTTTATGTGAGAATACGTCAATTTGAAGGAGCTGTCCAGCAAGCCTATTCTGTAACTTTCATTATCATTGGGTTCGAGAACGGCAAAGCGATTAGGCATGCTTACCGAACAAATGAGCATGACTGATTTTTACTGGAGACTTTAATCAGAGAGATTGACCATAAGGATTTTGTCAAATTTCTCCAAACAAAAAAGGAATATAGGCTATCTCATTCCTCCACCAATAGCGGTGTGCATACATCATGTATGGGTCTCTAGTTTTTACCTGTGGTCCAACCAATCATGTTTAATTGCTTGGCAAGCAGACTAAGGGTGGGATTTCATTTGTGCGTTTTTATCGTATAACAATTTAGAGCTACGAGTAGTTTCTTACATGTATAATACATATGTATAATATGTATAATATGTATAATACGTACAAAATGTACGTATAATACGTAAACATATAATATTACATGTATAAAAACTATGTATAATACGTTATATTTAATACATGCCCAACCCTGCATATAACAAATGTGTGTAGAACAGAGGTCTCGGATCTCTCTATCCTATAGCCAATCAATACGCTTGAAAAAGTCATATGATAAAAACGCACACATATAAATAGTGTAATAGCCTTGGCCTACAGGATTGCCTTCAAATATGGCGAAGAATCGGCAAGATGTCGGTTGCCTAGATAGAAGTCTATAGGTTAGTTTCAATCTATAATGATTCATGGTGAATTCCAAAATGGGAGGACCTAGTATAGCCACACACATTGAACCATGGCGAGAGAATGAAAAAGTCCAATACAAACACAAACATTAAGAAATATTAATATGAAATATATATTAAATATATATATATTATGTTTCAAAATTTGTGAATTTTTTTACACATAAAAGATATATATTTAATATGTATTTCGCATGAAAAATATATATAAATATCTTAATATTTGTGTCTATATATTAGACTTATTCCTTCTTTCGCTATTATGATCCAATGTTTTCTTTAAAAAATTCCTAAAACGCCTAATTTTTTCAACTCCTAGAGAAAGAAAACCCTTTAATAGTAACAATGAGATCAACATGACAATAACGACTGATGATTGCTTTGATATAATTGTAACAATTTCTAAAAAGTGTAATAATTTGCTAGGTTTTTGAGAGGAACTTTTGTCTTTTATTTACCTTTTATATCGTCGTCATCCATTGAGCCGCGATTATCAATGGCAACGATAATTATGATACCGTTGTATTTCTCGAGTGTAAAGGTTCTTCCATTGATGGAAGAGAAGATGGAACAGAAGACGAAGGTGACGAATATGGGGAAGACGTCGAAAGACGAGACTCTGGTGAAGGCGTGTTGGGTAAAGAAATTGCATATGGTAAATTTACCGCAAGTTCGACGAGCATATTGAATGAATCACCATTGTGTTCGTGAAAATAAGCGTTTTCAAGACTTCGCGTCGACAGGCCACGATATGCAATGTGCTGCTGAATGACTGGTGACACCAGATGTTGACGGGGTGCGCTCCAGTATGCAGCAGGTTCTTGGGTAGAACTCTCAGAATTCTCCATATTAGATGAAGGATTAAGCCTACAAAAAAAATCACTGTCTTAAATTTATTATTCTTAAAATTTGACGTCTTCTGTATTATTTTTTAACGCCAGGGTATAGTGTTAGATGCGCGCGAGAATCAGCGAATATTCTCAGCGCCACCGAAAAATGCGTATTATTTGAAAATGCTCGACTTTCATATATACGACCCTCTTTCCTTCTTTTCTTTTTGATTGCCTATTAGTCTTTTTCAATTATTTATTTATCTTATTATGTCAGAGAAAATGGCGATCGCGCTTAGCGAATATGTCGAAAGTTCAAAAAAACTATTAGAAGGCATTTTAGCAAATGGTCTTACAACAGTTGCAAAGCTCCCGCTTATTTTTTATACTGGACGCAACTGTTGTATCAATTAAAAACTTGCCTTCGTCGAGCATACGGATGAGAAATAGCGTCGCCGTCTAATTGCTCGACTTGAGCCTCAGCGTAAGGACGAACGATTACGTTGGGCCATCGTATCAAAGGATGCTCTTCCTCGCTGTGGTAGTCGTTCAAACTGCTCTCGTAATCGTTCGGACAATCCTCGCGTCTGCGTACGCAAATCTTAAATGATACATCTAATATTTTCACACATCTAATCTATATTCTCCCTCTTATTTTCTTAACTCTCCAAAAAAAGGAAATTTCGCCATTGTTAGCATATTAGCAGATTAGCGAATTAGATGATAAGCAAGTTAGTTGATAAGCAAATCTCTTATCGAACTTTTTCGTTAGGAAGTAGGTCGGCGTTGAGTCGATGGAATTCTTCGTTCTTAATTGTCGAGAGGATAATAGTTGAGATGCAGAAAGAGATACTTACCGATATGTGGGTTCCTCCAATCCACGTTGCGGAAAATTTACGTTGCATTGTGCTGGTGAGTCGTCTTCAATCGGTTCGAGGGGAGTTCGTCGACCATGCCGAAGAGGACTGCTAGAATTTACGCGACGAGTACGACGTGATATCGTGTAACGGTTTGGATCTTCACCAGCCTCTTTCAGAATTCCAGGAAGAATGCGTCGCCTAGCATTTATAAACCAGTTACACACCTGCAAAATTCAATAATTATTAGTAAATCAATACAAACTAAAGGATAATCAACAAAAATCAGTTTGAACTGTTATAATCACACATTAATAAATCAATTATTATCCCTATTAAGCTGGACCCCCCACCAGCGCAAATTGAGTCCGGACATATTAAAAAATTTAGTGCTTTTTGTTGCTAATTAATTGCTCTAGAAAGAATTTTGTTGCTCCAACCGTTTAGCAGTAAAAAAAATAAAAAATGGGGGGGGTCTAGCTTGCCATTAAGCTGGACCCACCCATTTTATATTTTTTTTACTGCTAAACGGTTGGAGCAACAAAATTCTTTCTAGAGCAATTAATTAGCAACAAAAAGCACTAAATTTTTTAATATGTCCGGACTCAATTTGCGCTGGTCCAGCTTAATAGGGGTCACGCGCGCGCGCGAGCGATTACTATCACACTTTCACTGATAATTAGACAAGGTAAAGAGCACTTACCTGCATTATCGTGAGGCTGGTTTGGTGGCTGAGCGTCTCCTTTTCAACATCATTTGGATAAGCGTTGAATTTGTGATCGCTCAGCCATCGCTTCAGGATGTTAACAGCCTCTTTGGGCAGATTTCCTCGTCGCCTTCTTCCCGCATTTTGTGCAGCAACAGCACGTCGATTCACCCGATTCTCCCCGCGATTTGGTGATCCGCGTGGCGATGTGTTTTCAGCTTCCGACGATATGCTCTGTTCATCGTCAGTCGGAGGCGCCGCTCTTCTTGTGGCAAGCCGTCGATTGCAGTAAGGCACTGTAATAAGAAAATAATTGCATGTTATTGAATAATTGTATAATGCTATTGAATTAATAAAGACGGTTCAGAAATCTGCGAATGTTTATCGCCGGAACTCTTTAGAAAACACTCAAACGATGTCGGAACTACCAACTCCAATTTTAAGCGAGCAACAAATCTTTTATTGGTACTTTACTCTTATTCCGCCCGCACGCTGAGACTTCTCGTTGTTATTTACACTTTTTTAATATGTAATGTATTTAAAAAAATGATATTTCGGCAGCAACAAATTAGCAACAAATTAGCAACAAATTCCTACATTATTTTTGCGTAGATTGGCTTTGTTGTAGGTATTGTTCCGCTAACTGAATCTTCCTTTAGTGAAACATCATTTTTTAAATAAACCGACAGAGCAACAAATAAAAATGTTAGTTAGAATCGATTCCGCTCACTTTGTTCCGTTAACTTATAAGACGTTTCGGAGAGTCTGAATGAGGTATTGAGCTATCAAAAATATTGTAGTAACTCGGGACACTTACTTTTCTCCTTACTGTTATTCACACTCGAACTTTTTGTCGAAAGCGATCGAATTGAAGATCTTAAATAAGGAGCCATTTCGAAGAGCAGGAAAAGAGACGTTTCGAAGTCGAGACTCTACTAAACTAACCGTTTTAAGGATTTGAAAGCAGGTAAATTTTTCCACCACCACTAGTGCCCTACTATCATAGCAAATTTGTCATATGCTCTGTGCAAAGTTTTATTGTTGGATCTTAATTCTTTTTTTTAGGAAAATAAATATAACAATTATTTATAATTAATTTTTGTTGTACACAAAAAATATACAAAATCTTTACATATATTTATAAATGAAAATAATTATTTTAATTGTACTTTTCTTTCATTTCAGTAAAATCATTGATTATATCATCTTAATTAATATTTTTAATAATATCTGTTTCAATTAAAATTATGGATTGGATAATCTTGTCCAATAGTCGATTTTAAATAATTCTTGGTTAATTTTAACTTGCTAAAATTTCTCTCACCCAAAACAGTAAAACAGAAAAAGTAATAGTCGGAAAGCAATAATGATATGATTTAATATATGTATATATATATATATATATATACAGGGTGTCCAGCGCGACTCTTCCAATCTCCCACAGGAAGGTAGATGGGATCGAAATAAACATAAAAGTCCTTTACCGTTTAACGATATCCGTAATAATAATCGAGATTAAAGTTTGAAATTGTACTAATCTACAAGTAGAAAGTAGTAGTAGTAAGTTTGAAATTGTACGCATCTCTATAGAAAGAATAGAAACGGCTCCGGCCACTCGAGGTATAGCCCGGTCCAGTTTGAAAAACGAATACGATGGTAGGAGGGGCAAGAGGGGAAGCGTGCCGTTGCTTGGCGCTCGGCATCACTGCACTGCACCAAACGACTCGCGCGATGGCTGCTACGCACATTCATTACATATGTAATAATAACATATGTAATAATAACATATGTAATAATAAATAGGACAAATACAAACCATAATAAACTTCGATGAATAAAAATGTCGAAAGAGAGAAAGCGATGAAACCTATGGAAATCTACGGAAAATCTAATTAATTTTTATCGTAATCTGTCGCTTCTCTAAATCGAAAGGAAAAAGTTTTAAGAAAAAAGTATCCGAAAGGGACCGGGCTATACCTCGAGCGATCGGAGCCGTTTCTATTCTTTCTATAGGCGCGCGCTCTCATTAGTACAATTTCAAACTTTAATATCTCGATTATTATTACGGATATCGCTAAACGGTAAAGGATTTTTATGTTTATTTCGATCCCATCTACCTTCCTGTGGGAGATTGGAAGAGTCGCGCTGGACACCCTATATATAAAATTCAAAAGTTAGAATATCAGAATTGCAATTTTAAATACTTTTCTGGGCTCTTTGTTACAGGAAAGAGAACATTCAATAGCACCACGGGGGGCGATGAAAGGACATTCTTCGAATACAGTTGTGCACCTAAAGTTTCAGAAAAATTTATTTTCCGGAAAATGGATTTTCCGGAGAACATTCTGAAGAGCGAAGGAGGAGGCTCTGGATGGCAACTATGTTGCTTTTGTATCTCTCTTTAATTTTTAAAAAGGCGGATCCTTTTTCTTGTAGGAAACCAATCCGACAATGGTCCCCTGTCAAAAGGGCAACAAGCGCCTTTCTTCATTTTGAGGAAGAAGAGGATTGATACAAACCTGGCATATGACGGTGCTGAATCCGATCAGTCGCCAATGAGGGCCGAATAGGCGGCGCGCACGGGCCTTTGACGGAAATGCACAGATGTCTATACTATACTAGATCGCTAACTTCGTCAAAAACAGTTGAGAGAGCTGAAGCCGGCGGGATTTCCGGTTTCGGCCATGATGGGAACAATAAAATGGCGGCGGTGCGTGTGTAGTAGTGCGTATGTGAGTATCTGGCGTGTGTTAGTCACGTATGTGTCACTCAGCCACCTGCGTGTCGATACTTTTTCTGACTTTTTCTGTACATTCCAAGTAAAAAAAAGTGTAAAAATGCCGAAAAATTGTTGCATTATAAAATGCAAAAATAAAAGAAAGCAAGGTTTTCATTTCTTTAGGTAAGTAGAAAGCATTTATGTGTAATAAATATTCGAGGTTCGTAATATGTGAAGGTTATATATTTCAATTAAATAAGGTTATATATTTCAATTAAATTGACCTAACTTTCATGCGTACATAATTCATTTAATATATAAATATTTACACAATTTACAATTTTTCGGCATTTTTACACTTTTTTTTACTTGGAATGTACAGAAAAAGTCAGAAAAAGTATCGACACGCAGGTGGCTGAGTGACACATACGTGACTAACACACGCCAGATACTCACATACGCACTACTACACACGCACCGCCGCCATTTTATTGTTCCCATCATGGCCGAAACCGGAAATCCCGCCGGCTTCAGCTCTCTCGACGGTGTTAGCGATCTAGTATTAGTATAGACATCTGTGCGGAAATGTTTATTCTCGTGAACCGTTTAAAACGTTGAAAAAATTATTTACCGAACTCTAAAAATAAAGTATGGGTTTTGTCAAAAAGCCGCCCCATTCGAATTATTAAATAATTATTTAAAATGTTGTAATAACGCAGTCTGCTTTATTCAACCCATACTTTATTTCGGTAAATAATTTTCTCAACGTTTTAAATCACGAGCACGAGAATAAAAATTTGCGTCGGGGGTCCGCACGCGCCACGTCTGCCTAGCTGGGCCCCCCACCTAATCAAATCTTAATGAAAAAATTATGGAACAATGCGCTATTTATGCGCTATTCATATCCGCAAACAAAAATTTTTGCGCTCCTTCCGTTTAGCTAAAAAAAAAAATTTTTTGTGAGGGAGCTAAGTAGTCAGCCCCTCCACCCAATAAAAATAATTGATTTGAAAAATTAAATACACAGGATTTATGCGCTATTTATGCGCTACTATTTCCAAGCATTTTCGATTTTTGCGCTGCAACCCTTAATGCACTTTCCTCTTGGAGCAAACAGACATATTCGCCCCTAAGTCGTTTAAAATTGCAAAATTAAATACTCTGACTATGCATAATAATTCTCTGATTTATACGCTACTATTCTCAAGCATTTTGGATTTTTGCGCTGCAATCCTTAAGGCACTTTTTCAGTTTTCCTTTGTCCCTTACTTCACTAATCCGCGCGCAGTCTAAATGCCGTCGGCATTTCGGTAACCTACTGCCGACCGATAAGGTGTGTTGTAGTCGTATTCGGTAATTTTTAGGGCCTGTTTCAATTCTTGATTAATTCTTAATCAAAGTTTAATTTATTCCTCATCTCTTTTCAATTTTAAAAATTGGATTTTCAATTCTAAGAATTAGACTGGGCCTTACACTGAGAAAAATGGTCTGGTTGGATTAAATAGTAATTCTGGTGGAAAATGGACGAATCAGAATTTTCTGGTTAAATCTATTAGAATTCTAGTTGAGATAATTAGAATTCTGATTGATATAATTATTCTGGTAAAAATGAGAATTCTAGTAGATTTTACCAGAAATATTGTATCAACCAGAATTCCTGTTATTTCAACTAGAATTCTAATAAATTTAATCAGAAAATTCTGATTCGTCTATTTTTAAACCCCCATTAACCTGGACCCCCCACCATCGAAAATCAAATTCGCGATAGGTCAAAAATTTAGTGCTCTTTTGTTGCTAATTAGTTGTTCTAGAGCGAATTAAGTTGCTCCAACCGTTTAGCAGCAATAAAAAAAAAATGGGGGGTCCAGGTTAATATAAAGCTGGACCCCCCATAATGAAAAAATATATATAGAGCTGCGATATCAAAAAAACAAATGCACCAGATTTTGTTGCTTTTTTGTTGCTCTAGGATAGTGCCAAGAAATATTGAAAAAATCACATTGTTAAACAAATTCCGATAAATAATCAAAACTACATTGTCGCGCGTCGCAACGTTATGACCAAAATTTACATGTATAGAATTTGTTACTCGCAAGTTTTTGGTACCAAAATGTTCCTTGGAACGTATACTATCGAAATATACCCGTGTCCGATTTTGTTGCTAACCCTAACACATGAAAAATAATTAGTTTATCAGCATCGGCGCTCGAGCCGAGCACTTTATCGTCTGAAACATTGTTTAAATAATTTGTTACTCGCAAGTTTTTGGTACCAAAATGTTCCTTGGAACGTATACTATCGAAATATACACGTTTCCGATTTTGTTGCTAACCCTAACACATGAAAAATAATTTGTTTATCAGCATCGGCG